ACTCTCCATGTTCTCCCCGTGCAGTGTGGGTTCTCTCCGGGTTCTCCGGCTTCCCCTCACACAGTCCAAAAACATGCTGAGGTTAATTGGTGATTCTAAATTGTCCGTAGGTGTGAATGTGAGTGTGCTTGGTTGTCTGTCTCTAAGTGTAGCCCTGTGATAGACTGGTGACCTGTCCAGGTGAACCTGTCTTCACCCTGAGTCATCTGGGATAGACTCCAGCCCCCAATGACCCTAGTGAGGATTAAGCGGTGTATAGATGGTGGATGGATGGATTTTGCAGAACTGTTTTAATTCAGCAACACTGGGGGGTTTTCGAGCATGAACAGCCTTTTTCAGGTCATGCCACAGCGTTTCAATCAGATTACAATCCGGACTTTGACTAGGCCACTCCAAAACCTTCATTTTGTTTTGTTTTAAGCCATCCAGAAGTGGACTTGCTGGTGTGTTTTGGATCGTTGTCCTGCTGCAGAGTCCAAGTGCGCTTCAGCGTGAGGTCATGAACTGATGGCCAAGCATTCTGCTTCAGGATGTTCTGGTAGAGAACAGAATTCATGGTTAGGTTGTCCTGGTCCTGAAGCAGCAAAGCAGCCCCAGACCATCAAACTGCCACCACCATGTCTGACTGGTGCTATGAAATGCTGTGTTACTTTTACGCTGCTCTTGGGGTCATTTTGGTCGGCCGGCTGCTCCTGGGAAGGTTCAACACTGTTCCATGTTTTCTCCATTTTTGGATAATGGCTCTGGAGTCCCAAAGCTTTAGAAATGGCTTTGTAGCCCTTTCCATAGATAGATGTCCATGACTTTATGTCTCATCTGTTCTTGAATTTCTTTGGATCGCTGCATTTTGTTGCAGCTTTTTGAGATCTTTTGGCTGAATTCATTTTGTCAGACAGGTTCTATTTAAATGATTTCTTGATTGAACAGGTCTGAAGTTGGGTGTGGTCAATAAAATTAAACTCAGCTTTCCAAAAAAATGTGATTAGCTACTGTTAATTCATGAGTTAACAATTACTTCTTCACACAGGACGAGGTAGGTGTGGATAGCTTTTTGTCCCTTAAAATATTAAATCATGATTTAAAAACTGTATTTTGTGTTTACTTTGGTTATCTTTGTCTAATATTTAAATTTGTTTGATGATCTTAAACATTTTAGTGGGGGAAACATTTTTTAAAAATAAGAATTTGAGGAGGGGCAAATACTTTTTTACTGCACTGTATATACAAGTCAATTACAAAAACATTTAGTGTTTTGTCTTTTNACGCTAAAGAGGTCCTGACCAGAGGGCTGCACTACGAAGCGAGATCAGTGGGTTATCGAGGTGTGTTGAGCTTAAAGTCAGAGTTTTTAGTGTCAGTGTTTTACCTGGCTAGATCTCCATGGTAACTGATGCTGTGGAGCTAGGTCTCCATGGGAACAGATGCTGTGGAGCTAGGTCTCCATGGTAACTGATGCTGTGGAGCTAGGTCTCCATGGTAACTAATGCTGTGGAGCTAACCTGGTCAGGAGCAGGTTATGTTCAGAGTTTCAGATTTAAATCAGCTGGACAGAGCGTCTCCCTTTAACCAGATGGTTTCCTGACTAAACTACAGGTTCTCAGCTGAGGGAATGTGTTTTATCTGCAAACATGCCGAGTTGTGCGTTACTAATATCACTGAAGCCGTGCAGTTACAGTATCACACATAAGTATTGCATTGCCATGGGAACCAGACATGTATTTAGTTGGTGATGCAGAAATCACATAAATATGTTTTTATGTTTTGTTCTGATTTGCTGTCAGGTCCGTTTACTCTGGTGCTACTGCAGCTGATAGAACAAAAATTAGAAAATGGATTATTCTGCTGGTATTTATTACAGAGAATATTCAATCAATAACATTAATTTCGCTCTGATTGGGCTAAAAATTAAAGTGATTTCCTGCATTATGGGACAGTGTCAGACCTAAACACACTTCAATACAAGATCATGTTTAAATATGAAGTCTAAAGTTTAACTTTAACGTGCAGCTGTCAGTTGGAAATAATCGGCTGCATCGGTAAAATATTTTATTACGCATATATAACAGCTTTTTTATTAGCATTCCTGTCTTGACCATTTGCAGTAGTGGTGCTTTTTACCATCACATTTTTTTATATTCCTCATTGTTCTCCATTAAAACATGTTGACTGAAGCAGCTGCACACGATCGTTTACTTTTGTGCAGAAGAGTCATGTGATGCGTTAAA